TGGCTATGCTTCCTAATGCAACATGAACCTCCTCGCAGTAGTTCCATGGTTTGCAGTTAGAACCGGCATGGGAATCAAAATTTTTTGGAATCGGAATTTAAATAATTTGTTTCCATAGTCTGATTGATTTAGATAGGAATTAAAATGGAAAATTAGAATAAGCTAAAATGAGATTTCATTCCTAAAGAGGGGAGATAATGGCCATTTTCTTAAAAGAGAATCCTCTGATTCCGATTCCAAATCCTTATTCCTGTAAAGCAAATGGGCCTTGATAGGACTTTTTTTAGAAGTGTAAAATGGGTCATGCCGGCCCGCGCAAAGTGCAGGTCAGGCCGTTCTGATCCGCGGGTTGTCTTGGGCTGTGGACCAGACCAAAGCTATTTATTTAAAAAAATTGAAAAAAAATCTTATAAATTTTATTTTATATAAATTTTGATGTATACAATTGTTTATATATACAATAATTAAATAAAATAGTATAATAAAATTGAAAATAATTATTTGCTCATTATATTATATATTATATATTATTATATAATTATAATTTATATAATATATACCGCAGGTCACAAGCGTCCCGGCCCACAGACATGAAACCCCAAACCCGGATAGGCCCATACAATCATGTCGGGCTACAACACGACTCAATTTACACATTTAACTTTTTCTGTTCATACCTGACATTTTGTCTCAGCCTCTATTTTGGACTAGACATTTTTTTTATAAATAAAAGGGGCAAAACCCAGCCTATAAACGGGTCTAGTACCGATTAGGTCTGTTCATGGGTTGGGTAGCCCGATAGGCTGGCCTGGTCCTACCCATCCTAAGTTGGGTTTGGACAAAATTTTAAGCCCGGGGGCTCGAGCTTATTGGGCTCTAAAAATCAGGTCCAACTATTTTTTGGCCGAGTTCAAGCTTTCCCAAATAAGCCCGAGCCCAATAATATTAAATATATAATAGAAATATAATAATAATAAAATTAATTACAAAAAAGTATTATATATATATTAAATGTATAAAATATTATATTATATAATATATAATATACTATTAATAATATATTATAAAATACCTGTCAAAGTGGGGTTTCGGGCTTTATATAGGGCCAGGCTCAAGTCTGATAATTTTCTATCTATATGAGGCAAAACCCGGTCCGAACCCGGCTTGACCCAGCCATGAACAGGTCTAATATCGATACATGCTCTTCGGGTATTCTTGTTGCTGAAATAAAATGCTGAATATATAAGATCACGAGGGTGGCAATTAACGTGTCTGAATTTTTCCATTGCGTCCATGGAGGTGCGGCAGCAGAATATACATCCGTTGACGGCAACGGAAGAGTAGCTGAGAAAAATTAACTGCATGTATTACTTCAAATGTTATTTTCTTTTCCTTTTTGACGGAACAGAAATTAAAAAAGTGAAAAACAAGAAAGCAGAGAACAATAATTGATTTCGAATAACCAAATAGTAAAATACCAATGAAAAAGGGGTGCTCTGGAAAAAATGGTGATATCTGAAGTCTTAACCATTGTTATATAGATTTGGGAAGGGTCATTTTAACTTGTTACTTGCAATTTCTGCATATATCAAGTGAAAATTGCAATTTAAACAAAAAAAAAAAATAAAACGAAACTTTCTGAACAAAGATGGAAAGAAATCCGTCATAATCAAGACCACATGAAAACCTCAGAAGCCTGAGAGAGGGAAACAAAGAGAAACGAAACAGATTTTGAGGCGGAGAAGAAAGAAAGAAATCCAGATATGTAGAACATTCATCTTCAACTCGCCCTCCTATCTGTATGTCTTCAACTCTAGGCCTTTCCCTGTCGGGAAAGTCCAATTGAGACTTGAGGTGGATAAGAAGCAGAAAATAATATATATGCCCATTAAGGAGGGGCACGAAAAGGAATTTGGTGAAAAACTCATAATGTCAAAAGCCCCCAAACACACGATTTTTGGTAGCTTCTCGGAAGGGTTCTCAGTCTATGAGACTCAATCAATAATGAAAGTCCCCAAGCACACGGATTGGCGGTAGGAGGGTGTGTTTTAACTTTACTTGGGTAATTTAAAAAAAACCCAGTACTATAAGATCAGTGGCAATTACCTCACTAAATTTTCATTGGAGTTCTATCAGTCAAAAAAGAGTTTCATTCAGCTATTTAATTTATTTATTTTTTAAATATCCAAACTCTTCTCCTTGACTGATTTACATGTCATTGCTTTTGGAATTACTAGTACCATTACATACATGAGGAGACAAGCACAAAAGGCTTTATTTGACGCATAAGTTTTTTGTTCTTACTACATATGTTGGAAAATATTCAAGCAATAATATAATAGTAAGAAATGGCAAATTAAGAGTAACCACCAATGGAGTATAAGTTTGAGAATGGTGGTATATTAAGAACTACAAATTCAATAAGAGAATTCAAAAGGAATAATAGTAAACTTATTGAAATAAGCTTAGGCATGGCTAATGCCATTAATTGTCCTTAAAACTGACTTTGCCCCTCTAGGTGCAAAGGTTCTCAGTGCTCGATTTTCAGGATACAACATCTCTAAACTCCGGAGAGGTGTGCACTCACGACGCAGAATAACAAATTAGAACATCATGCTTGCCAAGACTACACAAGGAGGAGTAGTAGTAAAAATGAATGTAAACTAGTAGAAGCTAATGAGTGAAAAAGAAGGAAAGAGTAATACATGGGCACTGCTATATAGGGTGTTGAGAAATGGTTGTCCTCTACATGACCGTTCTGCTCCAGCTTCTCTCACAGAGCTCTACTCTTTCACACCTAAATCTTCTAAATCCTCTCCCTTGGGAAAACTCTTGTAACTTTTCTTGCACACTATTAATAAATTAATTGGAGAGGTTTTAAGAGAAAACGGCAAAATAAAAGGAAAAAGATAAGCAAAAATAAAAGTTAGCCGGGACCACGCATGCAACACGGCACAGTGAGCGTGGGTATGTATCAGCCCAGTCCGGCGTGTGTAAATGTGCATGTAGTCTTCCCAGCCTATTCTCTTTATATGTCTATAAAATCAATGTTTTAAAAGCCGATCTAGAGGCTAAACCATTTTTGCTTTTGGGTTGCGTGTCACTGGTTTGACTGGTAAGGTCAAACGATTCAGACCATGCCACATCAGTATATATACGTATTAAGTATTTCATATCGGGCAGTATCGATAGTTTTTTTGTTTTTCCGAATCTGGTTTAGAGGGGCTGGTTTATGGTATGTTCACCCTCTGAACCGGTTGAGACCCCAAAACACCCCCTACAGGGGCATATCAAGAAGTTCCCAATACAATATGTGTGTGTATGTACATACATGTGTATAAATATATATTTTAGTAATAAATAATGTATAAATATGTTTTAGATATGTTATATGCATTATTTTATATTTAACTTATGTTTTTAATTTTTTATTTATAAAAAAATTAAAAAATGCAATTTGAGGTCAAAAAAGTTTTTTTTTTTTTTGTTTCCACAAAAAGAGCGGGGCACAACGCCTGTGGCCCTTGGGCACATAGATTTTGAAAAGTTACCTAAAATAAGAAAAATCACATCAATATAGCTTCCAAAAGTTTATATGCATTGAATGTGCAATCCGCAACTCAATCATCGAGTCAAACAGGTCAACGATTCTTGACCAAGTCAACAATTTTTGAACATCTGATGGGTCTTGATTGAATTGAACCCAAAATCCTGATCGAGTGACAATTCAAACAGTCAACCAGCTAGGTCGATGGCGGGTTGAAAATATTGTATAAAACGCAAATGATAATAAGTTTAAGTGGAATTCCCTTTTAACCCATGTGGGACATACTTTCCAAAACTCAAAATAATAAAGGACAAGATTAAAAACTTTGCAAACTAAAAGGATCATGAGGAACACCACGAGTGTCGCCCTGTGTGAGAACACTTAATTACTGAAAGATCTTGGCTGCAAGGGATACTAAGGGTTGAGTTTTTCTTCAGCTTCCAATTTATAATTCATATTATTGATTTTCTTATTAGTCTATAAGTAATATTTCCAAATAAAATACTCGATCTAACAAACCAGTGAAGAAGTGTTTGTTAATTAATGGTGAAGGAGATTGTAAAGCTCCACTCAGACCTCAGATCTCCAACTCCACCATTTTCAGGTTAATTTATGTTACCCTTGTTTGCTTTCGATACATCTGGAACTTCAAATGGCGCAAGAGTTGGGTTTGTCTTTCGGCGGAGTGGAGGTGATGAAAGGGCAAGGGAGGCTTTCAGAAAGTTAGAAGAGGGGGTTTTAAGATGCACAAAATATTCTTTGAGGCTTCGGCCAATCGAAGCCACCTCTTAAGAGTTTTGGTCCTCATGGTTCAAGATAAAAAAAGTGGTATGAATCTAGAACTATACCAATATTTTTTTTGAAAGACAATGTATTTTTTTAACCACAAAATGCCAAAGGGATTATTCTGTTCCATGGTTCATTTATGTAAGCATTGATTATGTGGTGTGTACATGAACTTTCACAATTTATTTTTGATCATATCATAAAAAAGAAATATTATGGGTTGAGCCATATTGATTTTTAAAATGCAAATGTTATGTCAGCGAACCGTATTTTTTGGTTCATAGCGGGCAATTATACCAATGTTTAGAGAACTGAATGGGCATCTACCCGTAAAAGGGAGAAGACAAAAAAGGGTTGTTTTTGGGAAAAATAGCGGGTAATTATATCTTATATAAACAAATAGATCACATCCCTTGTCAATAAAAAACATTCCAACCCTATACCAATATAATCTCATACCACACATCTATCTTATACATGGCAGGTCCTGGTTTTATGGTAAAATGTGCGGTGTTAAATCAAGTTGATAGAGGTTTAAAACGTAGAAGATCTCAACTCAGAATAAAAATAAAAAGGTCACCCTAATTGGACATAAAACAATTCTCTACAAACTTAAGATATCTGCTGAACTCAAACGCGTCTCATTTACATTGAGGAGCCGCCGATCTTTTGCAACAAATCAAGACATACAGACATTGATTGATTTCGCTAAGACCCAGAAAGCTAAGATGAAATAAGAGTAGCCTTTGCAAAGGAGATTGTAAACATACATACACAATACAGAGATAACTTTTAAAGTTCTCCCTTGATAAAGAGTTCTTTATATGAATGAACTACGTGGATTTCTTCATTAAAGAACACAATAAGTGAAGCACTTATGCAATTTGTCCGCGTTCTGTTGTGTCCAAAGAACATAAAATGTACTGCTTATCAAGGGGATACATACCACAAAGTTGACGCTACTCTTCTGATCATGCCAGCCACCCAGGCATATAACTAACACTTGGCCCTGGTGCTGCAACCGTTATTTGATCAGGCTGGTACCTGCAAGTTATCAATGCTCGGGCTTAATTAATTTAAGCTGCGACTATTATCAAGGAAATGGTTTAGAGATCACACATCTCCAATATGATGATCAGATATTGGGAAGGTCTACAATGGCTTTATCTGATCGTAAATCGATGGCATATTACCTGGCGCTGTTGGCTAAAGGTTTAGATACTCGGGTGAATGAATGATGGTGAGCTTGCTATAAAACTGTGCAGTTAAGAGGATTAAAATCGTAGCTCAACAGCTTACCTACTTGAAAGGAATCTTAACAGCACAAGACTGTTTTTACTGTTTCAGTTTAGAAGGAGTATAAATACAAATACATATAAAATAATACGAAATACAAAGTTTTACACTATTCATATCCGTATTTGTAATCCTTTCAAACTGAACCACTAGTAATTTACTGCTAGCTGAAGGAGCCAAAAGCCTGAGGTTCTTAATTAAGATTCAAGAGCCTCTCAACATGAACGCTATTATTACTATTATTAATTTTTGTTTTTAGAAAATGCTACATCAATAAAAAAACATGTGCATGTTTTGCCAAAAGAAGTTAGACACGTTTTTAGTTTGATTAAGAAAAACCTTATTCGATCTGAAACCAACATAAAATGCCTTACGAAAACAAAATCATGTTTTCATTTCTATAGGGTGATGTGAGCCCACCTAAAAAAATCATATTTTTGAAATAAAAAATTCAAGAACACATTTTCACTCTTAATAAAAAAAATGAAGAAAGTCACTACACAACCAAGCAACATGATTAATATGTTTTTTTTATTCCATAAGTTGGAGTACAATCCTTATAAAACTTCTGATTCTATAAAAAGGTTCCACTTCAAAATAAATCCTTATTTGGCATCAGGTATATCTTTTCTAAAACGTGGAGACGGGAGGCATCACTGGAGCCACCATTTATCACAGAAAAAACTGTAAGGGTAAAAGATTTAAATGTACCTTGATATTTCAAAAATTGACTTAAACATACCTGGGTTTTGTTAAAGATACCTAGTTGGGTGATATAAATGGACATAACCATACCTCATTAAGAAATGTTTTCATATGATCTCACGTGACACATTAATTTTTTTTAAAACCCTAATTTACCCTTCTTAGACCGTTGCTTGTTTTCTTCCCACCTATGATGACAAGGTTCATGTATATATAGTAATGGATTCTAAAGACTTTTTATTTTATTTTTTAAAATATTCAATTGCACAGACCTTTGAAAACCAGAAGTCAAGGTAGTTCAGTAGTTTATGCTAATTCCATGTCTTATTTGTTCTTGTATTTACCTGAAAGAGGTTTTCTTGCATGTCTTGAAATTTGAAACCCAAACCTCAATTTGTGGCCGCTAGAGTTATCTAAAAGCCTAATGTGCGGTTCAGTCATTACTCAGCTCCCAAAACAAAAGTATTGATTTGATTTCTGCGTCATAAAAGCAATGAAATCCAGATGACCTCACGTCACCTGTTCCCACCAGTTGACCAGTACCACTATGGCATCTTCGGGGCCAGAGGTCCACATGAAACACATTTATACTGTGGGCTCCTTGGAATTTCAGCTTTAGTCGATACTGTTTTCACAGAGATTTCTTGTCTCAGATAAAGCTTACCATTGCAGTAGTTGGATGTATCATCTAACTAGTACTCCGGTGACATTTTTATTTTGTACAAAGGGAGGGTCTTAAGGTACAAGATGACACTATTTCAATGAAGGGCAAAGGTGTCTACTTGTTAAATTCATCTAACGCAACCGTGTCAAATCCATTTAATAAATTCAGGGTATATTTTAAGTCTTTTATCCAAACTGTAACAATCCGTTACCTGTAAGAACAATAAGACACAAGACAAGGAATGGTTTAATCAATTAAGGGCTGGTTCATTGGTATATTAGTTGGTTTGTTTCAATATTGATGTAGAATCAAATCCCGCAACCAATACTTTCGAAAAAAAAAAGGCATTAAGGGAAATAATAAAGCTTGTTCTAAATGTTGGTGGAATTGAGGAACAAATGTAATAATGCTTGTTCTAAATGTCAAACAGACCGTACCCAATTTGTAGCGTGGGCTCACACTCTACAGGATGAAAGAAACCTTCGCCTTGTGTTTGGGCTGGATGCCGTCCATAACCATGCACATTGGGGTCCCACTGATGTGCATTTGCCTGACTTCCTTCTTCAAACTGCAGGTATGAAACAAAATTTATTAATTATATACATGATTCTGTAACAGAATCCACAGTATCAACAGAAACCTTTAGATATGAAACGCCAGAAGACTTCGTGGACACATAAGCTATTTTAACGATAATTTAGAGATGTCAATTTAGTCGTTTTGATGCAGGTGGAAAATCGGTCTACCCACTTAAATATCTTGAGATGTCAATCACATCCGCTTAAATATCTTGAGAGGATTTGATGATCATCAATCCCCTTCAAGCCATAGAAATAAGTAGGGGTGCAAGTTGAGTGGCCAAATCTTAAGAATTGGGCTTAAGGCCTGAATCTGGATTGAACTTGGGGTCAAGTTTGATCTTTTCAACCTAGTCCCAGTTTGCTTTGAAATTTGATTCAGCTTGGTTAATGAATTTATTCTAAAATTTGACATATGTGAGTATATAGCCAGATTGGGCTATCCGGGGATTAAACCCGAGCCCATCTCAAAAAATAAAGTCTAAAATCCTGGTCATAAGTCCAAACTGTATATAACTGTGGGCTGGATAGGTCCAGGCTCTGGTTGGACCCGCCCAGGTTGCACTCCTAAAATAAGGTATAATTTGGGCTAGATCGATGTCAATCCAGGACCAATACCTCACAACCCTTTTTCGATCCTCAAGGGCCTCAAGCTGATAAGCCCCACCTTACCTTGGGGCATATAATCCTAACTCCATTCGAGTTAGCGAGGATTGGGTTAGATTAGATTAGCCTCATACAAAAGCCCCAATTATGTTTTTTTTTTCAAAGAATCGGTTATTTTTAAAGCAACTTGCAATCAAGTATACTCAGTTTGAAAAGAATACAAATATAAATATGTACATTGCTCAGTTTGGGAAAATATAATATTATTTTGTATGTATTTACACTATATATTTATATTTATACTCTTCTCAAATTGAGTCCAAACCAAGTAATACCTGACTTGGGCTGTATTTTAAGGACTTGTCTATCTTTTTTTTGTAGTTAAAAAATCCCTGTGAATAATGAATTTTTAACTGGATGAATCCTTAATAAGGAATGCCAAATGCAGCCTTGGCAAAAAGTTTCGGCTTGATGGGCTTCCACATTTGGTCTGATGGCGAGACCTGATCTTAGGAGAATTCGAAGCGCAGAAATACTATTGAGAGTATGTGAATTCAAGGCTTGGTTCCCTTGAACTCTACTCTTTGACTGACATCACACACTTGAGGCAGAGAAGCCTCCCCATAAATGGATATATGGTAAGAAAGCAAATTAACATTACCCGCCGTTTCAATGCCCTGTTAGCTTCGCTAAGCATTTGCTCCTGCAAACACGAGTTGAACACGTAAATGAGTAATAAAGGTAAATACTGAGATTCCAAAACAGGATTTTCTCCTTTACTGTCTTACCCTTCTTTGAAGATCTGCAAGCTGATCAAGCATGTATTGGGTCTGAGAAAAATGAAAAAAAAAAACTTATGTAAGAGTTTTGTACATGTATAAATCACGCGCATATAAATCGCATAATATAATGGGGTTGTTAGCTTTTTTTTGCTCTTTATTTATTTAATTATAATTGGATAGCAAAAACAACAAAATGCTTTTGACGAACTAGAGAAACAAGAAGAGGCTTCGGGCTTCATGTTGTATAATTCCTGAATTCTTCCTACGAGGGGATGCTTTACAAAACTTTCATTTTTCTTTCTGCAGTATAAAAACACTATTGAAAAACGTATTGCATAAAATATCTTTTTATAACAATGCCGATATTTGCCTCCTAATTAACAGTACCTCATAAATTGAGAGAAATTGGTCTGGGACCATACACATTCCCTGAGCCTATCCGTAGATTGATTTTACCCAAAATACTTTGTTTCTAGCACGTTGGAGTGCATGCATCTTATTTAGGTTTGAGGGTTAGGCTTTAGTGATTTATGATTTAAAGATTTAGAATTTAGAGTTCTGTTGGGTTTATAATTTAAAATTTAAAGGATTAGGGTTCAGAAATTTTGGACTTAGATTTAAAAATCATGAGGTGGTAGATCACATGCAAGGATTATGGTATCGATATGATACTCCTGATATGGGGCGTATCATATCCGTTTCCATGATCATGGATACAAGATATACTACGACTGGATACATATTCCATGAGTTGTGTGTACGGAGGCATATCCGTGTCTAGTTTGACAAAATTGTACATTGAGTACTTTTGGATTGTTTTTCATCTTTAATACAAGTTAAAAAATAGTATTATGAAAATTGAATTAAATAATCAAAGGTTTAATTTTTTCAAAAAACTTAATAAAAACTAAAAGTTATAAAAATAATATATTTCATCTACCTTAGATGATTTATATATTTTATTTTAACATAATTTATATGTTAAAAATGAAAATATATTTATTATTTGAAAAAATAGTTATTATATAAAACTACCAAATAAATAAAATTTTCCAACAAAATTAATGAAAAACAGAAAATTATAATTATAAAAACTGAAACGAATAATTTAAGATTTAATTTTTCCAAATGATTTAATAAAAACTGAAAATTAAATATAATTTATTTTATCAACCTTAAATGATTTATTTTTTTATTTTACAATTATGTGTAAAATAAAAACATTATGTTAAAAATGAAAACATATTTACTATTTAAAAATAGTTGTTATTTAAATAAAATACTAAATTAATAAGTATTCCCAAAAATTAATAAAAATTGAAAATTATAATTATAAAATAGAAAGAATGATAATTATTGTACTATGTTTGAATGCTCTAGAGTCCCGGTATTGTTTATTGTAATATTTCTCTTCATATAACCTATTGAAGTATACATATCTCATGTCTTTATATCTTATTCATAGATAATTCAACTTTTGGTTTAATATTATTAATGTATTTATGTGATTTGTATGCATTTCACTAGCGTATCTAAGTATTTCTATATCTTTCATTCGTATCCTCATATTTCTAAAGTGTATCAAATCCGTATCCATATCCGACTTATCAGATACAATATCCGATACCGATACTTTGATCCTTAATCACATGTAATCCAAGGCAAATATCACCCATAGAAAATCAAACGTCAGCATTCCAATATTAACTTAAGTTGCTCAATAGGCAAAAGAATACAATACCCGTGTTGATCTGATCTGCTTCAACGACATATCCAGCTGCCTCTCCAGTGACTCAAGCTCCTTGCCACTTAGTGGGCCCAGGTCTTCTCCCAAGAGATTCCTGCGATGAAATTAATCAATCCACGTCTGCTTTTTTTTTTCTAATAATTATATAATGCTTCATTGAAGTTGTGTTTAATTTTAAGGAAAAAATAGGGATAGGTAGAGAAACTTATACAAGGTTTGTAAAAAATTTTCTTATCTTTTTTTTTTTCTTTCTCTACCTTTTTCCCTCAAACCAAACATAACCTTAGGGAGTAAATAACAATAATGGCTTTCAGCATGAGTTCAAAAGTGGGATGCAGGGCTTTTATTTTTCCAAGTAGGAAATGATAGTAGGGAGGCTGAAAATAACAATCAACCCAGGTTAATAGGAAGTGGAAACTATATCAACTCAACTGACTTTACCACTGCAAGGTGTAAATATTACCTCTGTGACCGCTGTAGCGCCTCAACTCGTGCTTTTAGTTTCAGATATTCCTGCTGACAACTCAGCTCCTACAACCAAGAAAAAATCTTCATTGATAAATACTGAACTAAATTATACTGCTGACTACTCAGATAAGCTCTACTTCTCTACGCACCATTCAATTAGGTCGCACAAGTTCCGATAACAAGTGTGTAAATACTGAGACCACACGTGGAATGAAACATCTTTACAAACTGATTGAAGTGCATGACAAAAATGCACGGAAAAAAAGTGCAGTAGATTATGTTCAGTATAAGCAAAAGATACACATGAACAAATACATCTTATATATATCATGTTCAGTATTAACATCATAATCCTTCTAAACTTTCAAATCGTGTTACAAGATTCTATACCCATTTTTGGAGAAATAAAAAGTTGTTCGAAAACAAAAGAACAAATATACATGGTATATTTCAAAGAATAACTGATTTTGAATGGAATTGACCTCTGTCATCATCACACAGTTTTGCATTTCTCCATCCTACACAAGGGCACGAGGTACAGGAGCCTGATGAGATCGATAGAACAAGTTCTCTATTCAGATTTTTGTGGATGGGTTTTTCGACCCAGATTCTAGTCAAGCGGCTTATAACTTTCTGTTCAAGTCAGCAAATGAGATAGTGCAAGTTGCAATGGGAAAATAATGTCATGTTCGTGGAAGTTCTGATGCTGAATTGATAGTTAGGACAACTGCTCTAGAGGATGCTCGAGGGTTGGGTTTTAAAGAAATCATCATTATACAGTCTGATGCTGTTACTATGGTACAAAGATTGACTTCTACAAAATTATCAAAAAAAAAGAAAAAAGGCTGAATTCTACAACCGGGGAAGGAACATGGCTGGTACATATATATGGATTACATCTTGCATCTTTTAGAATCTTTTTTCTCTACATAAAATATGTTTTGTAAGTAGATGAAAAAATGAATTAGCCCATAAGTTGGCTTACATGGCTTGTAAGAGTGATCAGGAAGCATATATGGTCTAGACTCTCCTGTGGATGTAAAATGCTTATTAAGTTTAATGAATGTCTGAGCTCGAGCTTTGGTACAAAAAAGAAAGTGTTTTGACTATTGCCTTATAGTATAGGAGTACATTTCATCCACAAACCGGTGAGCAAATTAAAAAAGGTTAATCAAAGCTTAGCCAACTTGTTTGAAGAATTAGTTGGGGATTACTTGAAGCAAAGATATCTTATTTTACCACAAGCTGACTTTGCCTTTAATGATTCAGCTAACAGATCTACAAGGAAAATTCCTTTTGAGGTTGTGTATGCTTGGTCATTTAAAGGTGTTATGGACTTAGTTTCTATAACAAGGTTACAAATTAGTGATGATATTGGGGCTTTAACTTAATCCATTCAAGAGATTTGAGACAATGTTTAACTTAATTTAAAAGAAATAAACCAAAGTATAAAGAGGCTAAGGATTAATATTGTTGGATAAAAAGTTCCGTGAGGGTGATCTAGTCGTGATTTATTTGCAGCTTGAATAGATTAGCTCATATCAGGTCTTGGTACAATGTGGGAACGATGCACGTCAAATTGAACTATCTATTTGGTTTTCTATTTCACCCATCTTCTATATAAGGGACTTCTTAGATTATCATGAAGATCTAGAACCAACAACCGAAATTAATCCAGGAAAAGCACAAATGGTCAACAATTTTTATGAAATTGAGCAAGTAGTAGAAGATGTTCAAATCACCAAAGTTCGAAATGTGACTTATTTTAGGTTCTTGGTCAAGTGGATGCAAAACCAACAACTGAGAATGATGAACCAAAAAAGAGAATAAAAAAGGGAAAAAAAGAAAAAAAAGAGATAAATGTAAATATATTATGATTTTGTGTGTTTTTTTTTTTGTGGTGGAATCCTAAATAGTTGTTTTGAGTAGCTTTGTAGGGTACAAGATATTTTCATCATTTTATAGTTTAGATTCTGGTCCGTGGCAGTTGGGTGCACCTCTATCGGGACTTGGTACTTTCAGAGTTTTAAAAGTGCAAGGCACAAGGGCCAATTTGCGTCCGAGACACAAGACAAGGCACATGCCTTTTTGAAGCAAGATGCAGAAATACAAAAAAAAAGCTAAAAATAAAAAAATTCAAAAAAATGCCAAAAATTGAAAAATGCAAAACAATAAAAATTATTAAACATAATATTAATAAGAAATATAAGCTTAAATTTTAAAATTAATGGTTTTAAAAACATATTATCTAAAATTACATAAACAAAACATGTAAAGCATATCCAAATGAAAATTTAAAAATAAAATCAAACATATAAAACATTTTCAAGCATGTAAAGCCCACAATCTCTTTTGTCCTCAACTGCATTATTGTAGTTAATGTGATGTAAAACATATTACATTCCTGATTCTACGAGTCGCCTTTCTGCCACGCCCATTGAGGCAAGCCCAAACAAGTCCATGTTAGGGTCTTAAATTCTTAATTCTCACATAAAAATAATGATTTTATTGCCAACCTTCCAACCTACTTCCTTTCAGTTTTTAGGATTCTCCGAGGAGAGGTGAAAAAGGATCACCTAGTTAGGTGGGAGATAGTTAATAAACATAAGGAAGAAGGGGGCCTAGGGACAGGGAACATAATGTTGGAGAATGAAGCCCTCCTAGGGAAGTGGTTATGGAGATGGCAGAGAGAGAGAGAGAGAGAGAGAGATTATGGCATGAAGTGGTGTCAAGCATTCATGGCTGCTTAGTAAATGGTTGGGAAGCCATGATATCTCATCGAACTACCCTTACAACACCTTGGAAGGCTATACATGGTATTCTCCCTCGCTTCCTCAAGTTTATTAGGTATGATGCTTGTTCTGGTGATTCTATTCAGTTTTGGGAGGATGTTTGGGTGGGTATTCAACCCCTCAAAGATCGATTCCCCTCGCTTTATTCTCTCTCCCTTCACAAAAATGAGCCAATTGCAAATTCTTCTGAACCCACTTATTCCCATGTCTTTAAACTGGGATTTTGGATTTCGTAGGGGATTAAGGGATGGTGAGTCGATTTGTCACTAAACTACTTCACTTACTTGACGCAGTTTGTTTGGACCCACATCTTTTGATCAAAGAGTTTGGACTCCTCTTCCAAAAGGTACCTTTACTTGTTTTTCTTTTCTAAAATCCCTCAGTTCCAATCCCAATTCCCAAGAGTTCCCCTTCAAAGATGTTTGGGAGCCACCTATTCCTCCAAAAATTGTTGTATTATGCTGGGAAGTCTACTATGGGAAAATCAGTACTTTGGAAAACTTGTAGAAAAAGAGACCCTTTCTTTGTCTCTCCCTGAACCGGTGTTCCTTGTGTAAGGCCCAGAATGAGGACTATCTCCATTTGCTGATTTCCTATTCCTTTGTTACAACCTTATGGAGTTGGAGGTAGGTGGTCTCTGCCATTTGATTTGAGTTTGTTATTTAACCCATCTTTTTTTGTAAGGCACAACAGAAGAGGCAAGGTCATGTGGAAATGTATCAGGGAAGCTACCTTATGGACTCTCTAGGAGGAAAGGAATGCAAGAGTCTTCTTAAAGAAGGAAAGAAGCTTATATTAAGTGAAGGATTGTATTCTAACAAGAGCAATACATTGGCTAAAAACCTTGGATATATTTGCTAATTTATCTTTTGATGACCTGTGGAGGAATTTGTTAGTAATAGTTGCTACTTCTACAAAGAAGAATAGAAGTTTGTTAGAATGGGATCCGCCTCTAGAAGGTATCATCAAGTTAAGTTTTGATGGTAGCAGCCAAGGTAACCCTGGGCCTTTAGGTATAGGGGATGTCCTGAGGAATAAGGATAGCAACATCATTTCCTTATTCTCAGGACCGGTGGGAGTGGGGGACTCTACAAGGGAAGAAATACTAGCTATAGTACAAGGAATTCAGATCGCTAACCAGCTTGGGGTGGAACATCTCCTAGTTGAAGGGGACTCTAAGTTAGTAACAAGGTGGCTTCTAAACCCAGATGCTACCATTTGCGGCTACAAAGATCTCATAAAAAAAGTAAAGTGGATAACTAGTAATATGAGAGTTGAGGTAAAATGGGTAAACATGTTGTGCCTCTCCTGCTACATTGAAACTTGTAGCACAACCCCAACTAGGGTTCTAGGGAGGATCTTTTTTGTGCTACATTGAAACTTGTTATAGTATATTGGAATGTTGTACTTAACTAGCTTGGAGAGGTTGCATCTTGTGCCTCTCCTTGGGGACATTGTACTATTTATCATTGCTGATTGATAAATTTCTTTCAATTATAAAAAGAAGATATTTTATTAAGATGAATGAATAAACAATATTAGCAAATAGTGGGTTCTCAGAGCTTTTGTAGCTTCCGCTACGCCTAGGCCAAGGCGTACAATTTTCAAAAGGCGTACGCTTAGGCACACTTGGCGTGTGCCTTCTGAATGTGTTGCACTTAGGACTTGGGCGAGGCACCTACCCTAAAATGCACATCGCTTGTGCAGCTAGGCGCGCCTTTTAAATCACCGGGTACTTCGGGTTTTTGAAATTTCATTTTATTTTTTATGGAGTTGTTTGAGAAGGGGGACATACTAGGGGCTTATATGTAGATATTTTAGTTGATTTCTCCAACAAGTACTTAAGTCTTAGAAAAGAAAAGGGAGCTTTTTTTGTAAGAAAATTTTTTGTTCTTTATCTTTTATTTGAATTGTAGCCCAACCCGAACTAGGGTTTTTGAGTATCAGGAACTTGGGTTTTGAAGAATCAATTCATTGGACTCCTTCCAATCCCCATAATTATTGTATATCCATGTAAGACACAAGCTAGACACCGTAGAACAATTTAAAGAGTTCTACATTATGTTCAGTTAATTCAATTTGTTTTGGTTGTGGTAGCATTCTATTCTTGTTTCTATTACCATTCACTTGAAGTATTGCAAATATCTTGCTTGTTTCCCCTCATCAAGATTCGTAGAAAGCAATGGGATTGGGCATTTCTTCCTTAATGGTAGTCAATGGGGAAGGGTGCATCGAAGGTAACTTATTGATTATCACATGAAGTTTGGGATGAAATTGGGAAAATTCTTTTTGTAATGTTCTCGAGGAACAAGGATAGTATGTGGGAGTGGATGAGGGCTAGGGAGCTTATGGACCTAAAAACTTGCACTATCTAAGAAGGGCCAAATGGATCACGGGATGAAGATTTCATGTGAAGTGATGATTTGGATTGGTCTTTAATGGTTTGAATTGACTTTTAGGCTATTGAAAAGAGAAGTTGTTATCGGACTTCTATGATTACATGGAAGTGAAGTCTCAAAGCAAAAGTGTAGTAGTTTGAGGAAGTGGTAGAGGTGGCAAGGAAAGGAAGGTCATAGTTTAAACTAGTGTTTAGGAAATCAGACCCAACCAACTAGTCAAACCCGTTGAACCGTGACCCGGGAATCAGACCAATCCGGTCACACCCCAATAACCACATTTGCTAAAACCCGATGAAAACCGGCTGATGAACTGATGAAACCACACGGGTCCATAAATAATTGAAATTTTAAAACGTATCTAATAAGACTTGAACTCATGACCTTTTATTTTCATAAATTATTTAAATACCACATATTTTAAGGAAAATGTATATAAAGAAACTTAAACCCAAGTTATTTGTTTTAAAAATTAAGGAACTTGCCGTCCATCCACTATATTTAAGTATATTAAAAATTGTAAAATATAATATAATATTACATATATAGTATTTATATATCCCGTAATACATATATGTATGCCACATTATCAGAGTTCGACCTCTGGTTTGACCCTAGTTGAACCTCTAGCCCGTGAAGCTCTCCCTTCTTCGGTTTTATGCCTGGTCTAGTTCTCTAAACATTGGTTTAAATATGTTTGAAATGGTTTTGTAATCTTTTTTTTTATGTTGGCATGTTTGTGGGTAGTATGCCAAGTAGGGATGACAACGGGGCGGATTCAAGGAGGGTTTTGTAAACTCTAGACCATACCCACCTCTCTAAACCTCCCAACCCATACCTTCCCCACAACTCATAGCGGATCGGATTTTGAGAATCCAAACCCTCCCCACACATGAAAGTGCAAAACTCTCCCCGCATTCAAGGGTAGGGGTGGATTGGGTTTAAAGTCCATATATAATTTCCTATTATTTCTTGTCATATATAAGCAATAAATAGTAAAAGTAACAAAAATAAACATCAAGATTTCTAATTATTTGATTAAGACATGTAAAAAACACATAAACTAGAAATTATCCTTCACATAAAATTCCAAATATTATTAAATTCAATACCTAGTACGTAAAGTTTATATGCTTTCCAATAATATGCAAGTCGAAGAGGGTTGGATATAGCCTAATAACGTATCCTACCCATACCCATACGGGTTGTAGAATCAAACCCGTACCCTCCCAAAACCCGTTATTTAAGTAAAAAAACCTGCCCCATCGGAGAGGGTAGAAGCAGGTACCCACCGGATAGGTTAGAAATTGCCATCCCTAATACCAAGTGGGGGCTAGATTTAGTTTGTTTGGGCTTTGCTCTTGGGTGTTCTTCCTGTGATGATTTTGTTGTGTTTCAATCTCAATCGGTTATCTTTGTATAGTCCTTTTTTGGGTATTGCTATATTTTGTACTTGTATTTTTCGTTTTCATTTTAATGAACAAAAAATATAACAAAAGATTAAAAAATGAAGGATAATAAAAGAAACAAGGTTTAGGGTAAAATTTCTATAAACTATGAGGAAGTCATGCCATAATGTTTTTCCTCTCTAGTTCCTCTTATTGCTTCCTTTTGTTTTCCTCCTCCTCCAGTCCTCCTGTTAAAGTAATGAATATCAATATACTCCATAAGTTTTAGTTCCAATTAAGTTATAATTAATTACCATATAATGAATGGCGAAGGTCAAAACAGCTAGAATATTCTGCACGGTTTACGTATCTAAAAAAAGAAAACAGCTAGAATATTCAAAACTCTGATTATTTCTGCTCGGTTTATTTCATTGCTGTCACCTTATCCTACACAACGTACAAATCATATATCTTCCTTGGATACAGTAGTCGTCTATTAACCTCAAATTGTTCTTAACATTCAATTGAAAATGTTAGTCTCAAATCTCAATGTGGTAACTAGTATAACCAGTTTGTAGCCTTTACTAAGTAATAAAACTCCTTTACTGAGATATAAAATAGTTTGAAGGACAAGTATTCCTAAAGGAACTTCTATACTTAATTTGTGCTATGATTTTGTACTATGAGATACAAAACTCCGTTACTGAGTAATAAAACTCAGTTTGTAGCCTTCACTAAGTAATAAAGGAACCATTTTGTAGCCTTTAATAAGTAATGAAACTCCTTTAGTGAGATATAAAATAGTTTGGAGGACAAGTATAAAAAAGGAACTTCAATACTTAATTTGTGCAATGAGTTTGGAGACCGACCTTAGTGAAAATCAACCAAAGATTGAAATTTGGCAGGTTTGAAGCATTTGTTATCATTCCCCAGAATAAAAAAAAAAAAGAAGAGAAAAAGTTGGGAATAAAATAGCTAAATACCTCTGACTCCCTTGTGGATATAGTTGTCTCTGGTGCTCCATAGTTGCATTTTTGATACCTTTCGAGCGTCTTGATCATGCTGGAAAAATAAACCAAGATTAAAAGGGAAAGAGAAACAAGCCAGTAGAACAACTTTGCATCTCAGAATCGAAATTCTTAAATTAATTGGTTTTGAACGATTTTTTATGTTGATTGGATTGGTTCCGAACACAAATTAACATCCAAATCCAACTTTTAGAATAAGATTTTTCAATTTCAATGGAACAGAATCAGAGATATTTATGGGTGTTCTGACAAAGCAGGGGCTTGCTAGTTGAGTTTATTTCTCATTACAATGGGTTATAGAACTAGAAGGGCAATCGACCCATTCTGTTTGGAATTGTTTCCTTTTACTTGATATTCAGTTAGCAAATATCAAAAAATAAAAAAAAATAAAAAGTTAAAAAACCATACATTCACCATCACAAAGCAAGCCATGTGCAGTACCCACTAGGAGAGGAATGAGGGAATACACAAAGCATGCCATTGCCTATGTGAATATGAGTCTTTTTTTGGTTGCAGAGACACTGCAAGAACAGAAAAAAGAACACCATATCAGTCGTCCTTTTATTGGACAACTGAGATTTGACAATTATTCTTTAATTCATAAGAAACCTTTTGATGCATGATAAAACAATGAAAACTAAACAGAACGTGATAATGCTACCAGAACTTCCCTATCATAACATCAAGATATGATTGTATACTGCTTCAATCAAATTCCTTGGGATCCACAACTATAAGTTTTCACCCCATTCAAAATTTTTTACCGTCACACTACTCATCCATTTAAAGATTTGTTTTTTATATGATTGTATACCTCATATTGAACCTATCCTATTTAAAGATTTGTTTTTTATATGGTTCATAATCATTGTTAATTAGGAAAGGTAAAAACTTATTCACAAATCTAGAGTATTGATGGAGCTGGGTTTTATGGAGAGGGGGAAGTAGTGTCTGCGTAGGTGTCTGATTGGAGAGGTTGCAGGCGAAGTAGTGTTCTGTTCAGAGGTTCAACGATGAGTGGATAGTGTTCTGTTGAGAGGTTGCAGGCTCGTTCATTTTATAGGGGTAGATAAGAATATTAAAAGATATATCAATACTTGTATCTATTTTCAACAACAGAGTAAATGGGTAATTGTATCCATATTTCTTGTGTTTGTTTTCATGTTGGTACCATACCTAGGTACCATGGAATATAAGCATTTCAAATGGGATTCCCACTCATGTTGTGTTTGGAATCTTAGAAAATGAAGTGCGGTATCCTTATTTTATATACTTGGATATCATGAACCTTGCCATGAGAAGAATTGGATCTCTTTGTACAACGTGTGTTCAACCACGTAGGCAATTTTTCATTCAGGTGACTGACAGAAAAGTTTAGCAGAGACAATTAGAGTATGTGGAATTAATTAAGGGCATGTAGGCAACCTTGCCATGAGAAGAATTGGATCTCTTTGTACAACGTGTGTTCAACCACGTAGGCAATTTTTCATTCAGGTGACTGACAGAAAAGTTTAGCAGAGACAATTAGAGTATGTGGAATCAACACTATCTCTTGTTTATTTAGTTATGGATGAATATACTAAACATATTTAGGAAGAGATTCAATGCTGCATGTTTTTTTTTTCCTGCTAAATAATTAATGAAGTTAAAGAATGATTAGACGCAAAATTAGATTTATTAGCAAATGACTGAAAAAACAATAGGTTTGAAAATAAGTAGCAGAGCTAGGGGCATTATTGAAAAGGATGGTGGTAGAAGTAGTGAGAAATGTTATATATTCTTTTGGTCTTTTTTAGGTAACCCTAAAAGTCACCGTATATCACTGAAGCTGAGTCTTCAGCCCCACTCCGAGGCACTTCAGACACTGGTGCCCTATTCTTCGTCTAAGTGGCAACACCCTGTTGGATTGTCGTCTAAGACCTCTTTCGTTTTCAAACCTGGTAAAAAATAGAGACCAGACCCCTTGATGGCAACTCTAATTACAAAGAGGGATTCTCTCACCTCCATCACCAACGAAGACGGGATAATGTGAGGAGCCCTTGCCCAATCCAGGAGAACCTTAGCAGACAAAGCATTGATTTCATTTCAGATCTGGGCTTGTGCCATCAAGTTCATCCATGTGACAACATCTAAAACTTGCCCATCAATCACTCCCTGCCTCACAACAATCACTCTGTCAGCACCATTCACAGCATTATCTTCCCCGGACTTTTTTTTTATACTCGATTTGTAAAAGGAGTATATGATAATCTGCAAACAGGTGGTTCCAAGCAACCCATAACCTTTTCTAGTGTTGATTATACTCCTTTGAATTCCATTTCTCCGATTAGTCTTTTCTATTACTTTCTTCCACTTAACAATTTATCATTTCCGTCCTATTCTATTAAGTTGTTTTAAATTACTAGTAAGTGTTTATGTGATAATTTTTTTTCATATAATGACAATGAAGGTAAATAAAATGCTGTCAAATGATTTTTATATTTTCATATCCATAAAAATCTTTCTTATTTGGCACACTTATTTTTGTGCCTAAATGTTTTATATAACTATCCCATCATTTGTATGTTTGCCTATTTTTAAATTTTTATTATTATTTAATTATGACATCAAGGGTTGACACATTTTAACCCAAATTAAAGGTTAGATTGTTGACTCACCACTAAACAGGAAATCAACTCTATTTTTGGGTTGATTTTAAATTTGCAGTTTACTTATATCATCAACAAAACAATTACTCTTTGTCAAACTTATTTTTTTTAATATAATATGATAAATTAATAAGGTTTCAATGAAAGAATGAAAGTTAATACCCTAAATATAAGACTTAAAGACAAGGAGGAGAAATGCAATAGATTAAATTACATTTTAGGACCTCACAATTAGAGATGAGCCAAATTAAAAAATAGGGATATTCTAGTCAAGAATAGGATTCAATGAATGTTAATGAGAATTAATACCTTAAATGTAAGATTTAATGAGAGGGATTTGAATAAGGAGAAAAGTGATTGTTCAAATTAAATTTCTATTCTTACAATTAGAAAGAGACCAAATTAAAAAATTGAGGTATTTTAGTCAAATAAAAATTCTACGCTTTCATTCACACTTTCAATAGTAGTGCAGATATAGATATAGATTTTCTAATTATTTAATTAAACTTGCTTTAATTTTTATTTTGATTTCCTTATCTAAAACAAACTTATAGTCTACATTGAGGTGCTCTCTTAAATGAAAGAGGTTTTGTGAAGATGTAGTTCAATATATCAATTAGCATTAAGTTCTAATTGTTGAGTGGAACATGCATTTGCATGTGGAGAGAGAGATGGTTGATGGCAAGTATCAACATTGTATATATATATATATATACTCCAGTGTAGTTTTAAATAATGAGTACTTTACCCATCAAACAATATTGAGTACTTATAACTCCATGTTTCTTAGCATTGAAAAATTTGAAAAGTGATTCAGATTTTGAAATTTGGGCTTGAAAATTAAAATATTTGGACTTACTACTCTTTGTTGTAGTTGTAAGAATATATAGTATAGATAACTTGCTTCAATATATTCATTAGTTTGGTCCAAACAACAACTGCTTTGTTTTTAAATTTTATATTGTGAGAAGACTATTCATAATTTCTGAAGGTCATTTGAGAATTTCCACTATTTCTTTTAAGTTTCTTTATTTCTTAAGGTCTAATAAATCAACCACATTAACTAGAATCCTCCAACTAGGAACATGCCACTAAAAGTTAATTATGGAGTGTGAAAGTTTTGATTTACACAAACACAATTTAATTAGACTACAATACTACATCCCCACCCATTAATAGGATTTAATAAACTCTTAAAGCCCCCAAAACCAACTTGTATGTCTGGTGTCTCATGAAGAAGAATCGTCAAGAGAGGCCCATGCATCACCTAGAGATTGAAATACCTATCTAATACTATATAGCAACATTCATTAATCTCCATTCCATTTATCTTTTTGTCTCCATCTACCTAAGGAAAATAAAACCAGAAAGGACTTCTCCTTGCTTCCAACACAAAATCTTGGATCAGGATTCTTTATGTGCCACCTTGTACCATAATCTGCTAGTTTCAATTTTTTGTCACTACGATCAAGGATAGTAGGAAGTATCAGGAACGGTAATGGGGTGGGGATCATATTCCCCATCCCCAACCCCAATTTTGAAATAATCCCCATTACTGACCCTGATCCTCATTGGGATAAAAGTTGTCCTCCATCCCCGATACCTGACATAGACAGATTTCCCATGGGGACTACTATCCCTAAAATTTTTTAATTAACAGTATTTTTTGAAAAACAAACTTACTTAAAATAAATAAAAAATTAAAATATAAATATTATCTTGATATATATATGTATATGTATAAAATATAAAATATCATATAACTAGGGTCGGGGTAGGGTGGAGATTTCATTCCCCATCCCGACCCGATGGGGTGGGGGAGATCAGGTACCTAGTCTTCCTTCCCTAGGAAGACTTGAATCTACAGGAGGCTAGCCAGAGAAAAGGGAAGGAAAGGAATGAGGGTGAGGGAATGGGGAAGCGACCGATGAATCAAGTGGCTGAAGAGATGGGCCTGAAATTGAAAGAAGTAGTGAGTGTCATAGCGTATTCCAAAAAGAAGGGAAAGAAAGAAAAAGATCGTCCAAGAAAGAGGAAGCTTTCGGAAGTAGAAAGATTAAAATCAGATGTGGCGACAGACTTAGAATTCAGTACAAGGAGGGAAAGATGGAAAGGAACCACGTAAGGGATGGTGGTGTCAAGGGTGGAAATTTAAGTAATCCAATGAAGATACCGAGCTGGAATGTCAGAGGGTTGGGTAGTGCTAGGAAAAGGAGGGTAATAAAGGATTTGATTAGAAAGGAAACCCGGATATAGTCTTGCTTCAAGAAACAAAAGTGGCAGTTTGGTATAGGAAATGGGTAGGGCTGTTCTCGGGTCGGATTGGGTCGGTTTACAGGGGTTTTCCCAATCGACTTGACTTGGTCGGGTTACATGAGGTGGAAAC